TTCAGGTTCAATTAGAACATAAGGTTGACGGAAACTAGGGCACTGCATTTATCTAATGAGCTCCAAGAAGGGTGAAACTGGTTGTGGACTGTCCAAACATTTCGGCAACCTTATGAGTAGTGTATTACGTCTAAATAAGGCCACTTTCCTGTTGTTCTTCATTCTTTGCTTTTGTGAAATCACCAACTTTTCTTGGTGAGCGATCCATTGATTTTTAATGCATTGAATTTTTTTCACATCTGGTAGTCAAAAAGTAATATTCGGCTCCTATTTGTCACAACCTCGGAAGAGTTGGTGATCAACTGGACTCGCACGAAAGGCATAGGTTGAAAACCCTACTAGACCTTGGATTGGCCTTGGAATTCTGCTCTAGACTGGTCAGTAAGGATACGGTTCGCATCAAGACCAGAATATTTCGACTGAGGTCTTCTCGGAGTTTGAATCTGTATCTCTTCGTATGTCGTAGACCAGGTCTCTGTAAGCTACCCGAATTTCGTTAGAAACCTTTAACCAACTGACACAACATTTGGGATGTAATCATGGTTTAGCACAATATACACGAACCGATTTGTTCGTAATTGTGCCTAGCAGCACAGCCTATGTTGTCTCACATTGCACCTGATGTTCCGTAACGAATTGGCCCCCAAGTGTCCTACGGTTACAAGACTAGCTTGTTGCTAGTTGGTTCCGACGACTCATAAAACTCATCTATTGTCACAATCCTCATTGTTCTGCACTTTACAACTGTACTCATTCCATACGAGCCCGTGGTACTGACTGGCAAATTGTCTAAATGTTGGTAGCTCGAGTGGGTTAATGGGCCGTTGGTCAGGTGGCAGTTGGCAGTTGGCCCGTTCACCGAGCTTGACCACTGGCTTACTCACCCTGCGAGGAGACCTTTTCAGTGCGTGACTGTTTCCATTTATATACAGTTTCTAAAGAGTAGTTTATATCCGCGCCGTGATTGGTTGTTTCAGGATTGCCCTTACACTTAACTGGATTGATCCTTTTGGGATGTGCTTTGCGTTGTGGCCCGATTATCTTGCGTCTGGTTGGTTCGTTGCATAGCTTTAATGCAAACCTTGAAAGGACCAGTTCAGTCAATTTGTGGATGTGAACCAAACCTCGAGCTGATGATGTTTCCTCGCATAGCGGCGAAACCTTTGCAAGTCGATTGCCAAACTCGGCCACCTATCCAATAGCCAATAGCACTACTTGACTATACCTAATGTTGATGATGCTTCCAGCAACCTGGGCTCAGAGCATCAAATCGAATATTGTCCACGACCGTGTATTCCACCGAATGACACGCAGATGAAAAGCGAAGCCACCTATCTGTGCTCCACGCAACCAGCTTTGGACTGGATTTGCGCTTAAACCTCAGCGTGATCGGCTGTCTAGTTACTCAGTGTGAAACCTTCATTCATCACTGTTGTGATCTTTAACCCCCAGTATTTACAATCACCTTGGAGAAACCAAAAATACTGACAATGAAGTTCTACTTCGTTGCAAAGTGCATGGTCAATAGTCATCATCATCGTCATTTTCAGCTGTAAAAACGGCGTACTTGTCGTACAGTGGTTGAGGCCGCCACAATTTCGTCCACCGATGATTTGGGGAGGTGGAGTAGTTAGCTAAGCATTTTCTAGCTCTGAATGCCTCTTGAATGGATTGGTTGAACTGTTTCCGTTTGTCTATCTATCCTGTCCCCAGACCTGTCTTATCAGATTGGAAAGTGTTGCCTTCGTTGACTACAAAAATCCTAGCAACACGTTTACTCATTGATTTTGTGAGCCCTGATGTCACCAGTCTTTTCAAGCTGTCCGTATCGATTTGCGCCTAAACGGGGGTACAGGGAGGGCACTTTGTATCTGCAAGCTATGTAAGGTTCAGCCTGTCTTTTCATGACTTTGCCCTTGGCTATTTTCCGATGAGCTACGTGTCAGTCGGTAGATAGTTATGGACTTATGCAAAGCTACTCTTCGATTTCCAAGATTCTTACAGATTTTGGTAGTGTTGCCATGACTTCCAACTGGCATTCGTACGTAATACCCAGCACTTCACGCATTTGAATGTTAATATTTCCGAACTTCTCCAACGAAAGGCCCCAAATGGGTGTTTTTTGTAATGTGTTACCGTGTCGAGTTGAGCAAATTTGATTTGATTTGATTAGGTCAGGTTTAACACCTCACCAGAACTCGGGTATTTTATGGTGAATGAACATAGCCTGCTCTGACAATGAGTGATGACCTTCGGTTCGACGCTGTCGGTCGATCCGATCAATATCTTGGTCCATTTACATTTGGATTATTTGCTAAGAGCGTCGCGTGTGTGTGATCAGCTGCCGTTCCCAAATCACTGGCATACACACCGCCGCAACACTCCAACTCCCGTGTCTGGTCTCGCAAGCCCTGTGTCAGAAGTATCACACATTACGGTGATCGTTTTTTAAGAACATAAGAACACAGGCGACTGGTATGGAAGGATGTAACGGAGGAAGCAAAAGCAAGGCAACGTTTCAACCGAACGCGCCTGGCACCACTAATCTTTCCAGCAAACTGAAAACGTCCCCGAATGTATTATGCGGGAGCACATGAGTTGAGCTCAAAGGTTGATGAAAGGACGAAGAATGCCCAATGCTTCTCACGACGCAGACCTCGTCAGTACTGTCAAAATTCGCAAATCAGGTACAAGGTGTCCTTCATATAACGCTCGCTATGGAAAGGGACTAGGTGGCATTGAAGCAGACCATCTCAACTTCCGGACGGCAGAGGCGTTTTTGGAGTATCATGCTTGATCCGACAGAACTGCGTGGCATGCACCAAACTCTCCGACTGAGCAGCTTCACAGCAGATCGCCGGGTTACCATGACAGTATTAGGCGTCTCCAAATCTCGTCCCCAGCGAGTTGTACTGGAACTCAAACTATTGCGGATAAATCCCTGAATAAACGCGTTCTGAAGACTTAAATTGTTAAATTGAAAGGTGCGGAACGACAAATTATCGCAAGCTAATCAAAGCTGTTGTGCAGTCTCGCGGACAGCGCGGTTCGCGTATTGCAAGTCGGGTATAATTTATCACCCAGGCATAATAGTTACCGTAACTTGTGATGTGCATCGGTAATCTTCACTCGGTCATGCTTATCTACAGTGTGATGAGTACGGTGTGCTTGTTGGCCAATCCTTACCAGAGACCGGTGGAAACAACCAAGACGGACTAAATGAGCGACAACATTCGTGCCAACACTTTCATGGACGTGAATTCGACGGTGGGCCAAAGAGCCAGCTCGCAGCATTTGCCACAGTTCTTGCAAACGTACTCCCCGGAACTGGTGCCAAAATCTATCTTGTTGTTTACCGACCACAGTGACCGGTGCCCATTAGCCGCACAATGCTTTTAGCTGAAAAACCTCGAAGAGGGGAATAAAACTTTCTGCGCCAAGATGTTGCATTTTGTTGTGTATGTGCTCCAACCGGAAACAATTAAAATCTACCTTCACATTTTTGCAGCTCACTAAATTTCATTGTCCACTGAAGCAATCGCACCTCTGGCAGAAATGTCTGGTGGAATAATTTCCCAGCATCGCTGAGACTCAGAGATGCCTAAATGGGGCTCAAAAGTTTGGACTGGTACTCTGAACTCAATTGTCCGATTGCTTTAGTCCATCAGAGACACGTCATGGCTCTCGAAATTTCTATTCCATTGTGCGAATACTGAGGACCAAAGTGGCCATCACATGAAAACCAAATTAGGTGGTCGTCCACATCTGGAATTGCCAAAGTCACATCTCACCCCGACTTCCAGGCTACCCGATCGGCTTCCCGTTGTGGTGGTAGTTGAGCGCGCCGAGTCAGTCGATCCCTGAGCTGTTGAAGAAACTCACCCTATAGAGTAGAGGTCGTGTCAGTGCTGTCGTTTGAAGACAAGCCGCTGCTGACCCCTTACGTTTGTGTTACTTTCACTGCTTGCAAAAAATTATGATGACGATGTAGGTAATACGTATGTAAGGAACACAAAAATAATATTAATATATTAATAATAATGACAGTAAAAGTAATCATGATGGTGTCGACGGTAATGTCGGAACCTCCAGCGAAAGCTTCTGAGGGAAATTCTCACCTTGTATGTGTCGTCAAAAAAAAGAGTGACGGTGCTCGTCTGATCCGTTATTCCGACGGAATATCTGGTCAGAACGAGAATTTCTTTTTAGGTTGTTTCGTTTGTCCTTTTCTGCCCTCGGAACGTTTGGGCGTGGTAATGGTTCACTTTTTCGCCGCCGGTGCTGACCAACTTAACTCTGTCTGGCGCGCTGCACACACCATAGTCGTTTTGTTGTTCCGTTTCACTCTGTGCAAGTGGATCCACATTTGACAAACAGCCTAACTCCCATTGTTTTTTTCTTAATCCAACATTCCTCAGAGGTCTCGATCACCGAATTCAAATAGGCCACATAGACTGACGAACAGAACAAGCTGACCTACTCGAAGTGGCTGTTCTCAGGCTCTGATCACTCTCTCTCTTTTCAATTCAAACTCATCATTTACAACCGGTTTAACGCTTCATCCTTACAGTTGATAGGTCTTTTCGTTTGCACTTCGTTGTTAGGACTAAGAATGACTCCACTTTCCTGTTTGTCAGCGGTTTGGTGGTGATGAGGGGGGCCAAGATGGCTCAAGTGGCTAGAGCGCGAATTTACTGACCGGAAGGTCCGTGGTTCGAACCCAGCCTCTCGACTTCAGCTGTCCAGGCTTGGGCAACCTGGGAGTATCCCAGCCCTCGTGCCTCCTTCGTGTGGCATGACAGCCAGGCACCGGAAGGGTTTTACAGCTGAACGATTTTTTTCTTGCCACGACAACACCGAACCTCTCGACTTATTTACTTCAGAGCCAGTACTCGGAGAATCTAGAATCCGGTTATCCCCATGCAGACATGAAATTTTTAACTTGTGTCCGTGTGATGCTTATCGCCTAACCTTTTTCATCTTTTCACGCATCTTTCCAGTTTTGCTAGCGACCACAACGTCTCCCATGCACACAGTCTCAGTGCACCGCTCCCATGTGAAGATCTTTCTGGTCGCATGTCTTTCAATCACGAAAAGGCTTGCATTCCACCGAATACCGTTTGCGATATGACCTCACCACAGACTCATTCTATGCGCCGACTGCCCCGTCCCGGTTACTCGCTGAAAAGAAAACGATCCACCTCCCCCGAGACTATGGGTAAGTCGTCCTGTTTCCATTAGTATCTGCACTACCAGTTTTACCAACTATTTAATACCATGTCCCCAGTGGGGTAATGGCGTCCGAATCCATACTGATGCGCACTCAGGAGGCTATGTATTTACCAGAGTTGTTTGCTTAAGAGTGGACCCCTTGGACAGAATGAGAGCGGAAGATACTTGTTCCGATCAGACCAGGAACCATTTTTTGGGATATGGATTCTCCGAGGACCACCGAAGCGGATTGGATGATCGGGACGAGTGATGGAGCACGGTTTCTGAAGGAAATTTTAGGAGTACCATCAGGACTTGACAGAACGAGGAACACTTCATGGTAATTGAAGTTATTGAAAACTGACTTGGTCGGGTAGACAGGATGGAATTTCGGAGCTGTTTTTTTGCGATGAGCGAACGTCTCTGTTTCCCCCTACTGGGGCTGCCGTAAGAATCGAGTGTTCGAATGTTTTGATCGGACTCGAACTTCGGAATTCGACCTTCATTTGGTGCATTCAATGGCGGATCTTTGCCCCGATAGAGAAGAGAGATTCATCCATCATCTCATTTACGCCAGGGAAGCGTCAGGCTAACACTGATGTTGCTATGTCAGATGATGGCGCATCGTACATCCTGTTCTTCAGAAGCGCGTTGTCAAGCCGTTTTCTTAGTCTCAAAAAAAGAATAGCAAATTGAGAAACACACTCATTTGCAAATCAATTTGGTTTTCACGAGACTCAACTGAATCTCTCGTTTGTGATATTCTACAACTGAAAGTGCTGCACACAGGCCGCCTCATGTTTCAGTTGGCACGATATTCGAGATATCGCAGTGTATTTTCATAACGGAAGTTACTCACAAGGTTGCTGAAGGTTGTCGAAGAGCTTTCAGCAACCTTATGAGTAGTTTCCTTCATGAAAGAAGGAACTGAGGTTCTTGGAACGCAGGAATGATATCCTGAAGGTTTCGTACTCAAGACTGAAATCAGTTAATCCCAAACCGATGCAATGTTCTGTTGGAAAGAAGCGAGTCTAAATGAGGCTTCCATTCAAAGGTGACTCGGTTGCTGAACTAATTTATAAAAACCCTGTTGATACGACATACTTGGCTGCTATTCTGTGCTTGAGCTTCAACTTTAGCCCCATCATCAGTTTCCGCTCAAAGGACAAATTGTTACATCATACCACCAGCTTTTGTGTGTACTCATTTGTATGCTCGTGTCGAGCATCATACGCAGGTCGTACGGACAGAATGTGGGAAAACAATCCCGTGTCCCTGAGTGGTAGTTGGAAGAAACCAGGCTCAAGTGCAATTGCATCACATTTGGACGAAACCAGTCCTGTCATCGACAAAGAGCAAGCCTTCAATACTATATACGGGGTACCTCTGAACTGGTCACGACTGGTACGATCCAGACTATTATCAATCGCAGAGGTCATTGGAATCCGACCGCTGGATCCACAACTTTGCGTCCAAAAGAAACCTATGTGACCTCCGAACTTGAACTGGCCTGCGAAAACTCTGGTCCCATAAGCCTGTCTGACATTGACGTCCCTTGTCTGATTCCGTGACCCAACAACCTAATCCTAATTCAAACCCCCTTCGATTGATTTCCGTTCATCTAAGGTGTATGTACCCCCCCCCACACACACACACACACCCGGTTTTAATCTTTTTCACGTAAACTGTGGTACCATATATAGTTTTGATGTCCTAGATAGTTAGTTTTTATGTCCTAGCCAAGAGGAACAATCACAGAAAGCAAGCTTTGTCCGCTATCCTCATCAATCTCCCGAACCCGACATACATCTCTTAGTTGAATCCTTAAACCTCCGAATTTTTGTGCCCACACAGCGTTTTATAACATCAGATGTGTTCTCGATCGATTGGGATCTGTGCTTAACTGCAGAATGAGCAATTAACAACACTGAACGGTATCAAGACTGGTTACGTTTCTACACTGGATAAAGTATTCCTGCATGTAGATAAGCAAACCAAAAGCAAGTCAAAAGCCGGCTGTTAAGCGCGATCTACATTGTATTCGGACTGAGACACACTGTCGAGAGCTAAGCGAATGGGGAAACGCGCAAGAGTCCTAGGACACTATGAGAAAAATGCACATTGGCATGGTTAAACTTAAGCTGTGAACAATGTCGCTCCCTGGCAAGGACCTATATGCAGGAAAGTAAGCAAGTCGAAAATAGCTTGTCCCGCGAAGCGCTGTGGGACGAATGAGGGTGCCACCTCAAATTGTGGACAATAAATTCACTTGGAATGTGGAATCGAACGGGGTTGTGTACTCACAACTGATGTTGAACCTTTGGTAAAAATAAAATTCCCTTATGTCGTACGGCAAGCTACACTTAACCTGAGTTAGAGAAGTTAAAAGCGATGAACATGTTAGGGAATCGAGACACCCTTTCGTGATCTGCAAGGATTTTGAAGCAAAAATATGAAAAAAAGAAATCTTTCACCATTATGGCACCATCATATGATCCAAATTTTTGTGCGTATTTCCCAATTATCGTAGTTTTAACAAAAGTCAATCGATTTTGGGTGTTACTTTGTGATGGGATTCATGCTTCCATAATGAAAAATCAGTTGATCTGATCTACAGGGAATGGAGTTATGGTTAAAGGAACATGTGTGATTTTGTAATTTTGTCGCGTGTTTTAGTCGCTGTCGTGAGTCGATGGTGCAAATTCGCGCGCGGCAACACGAAACCCTTCTGACGAGCGACAGCAAGTGTGTCCTGCCGTACTGACATAAGACCTCTAGTGTCCACGACGTGCTCGATCATGGCCAAAGTTCAGCAGTGTGGCGGACGATCCAACCAAGAAATGATACCATACTCCACATAATAATAATAATAATAATAATAATAATAATAATAATAATTCAGCTGTAACATCCTTCCGGTGCCTAGCTGCCATGCTACCCGAAGGTTGCGCGAGGACTGGGATACTCCCAGGTTGCCCAAGCCTAGACAGGGGGAGTCGAAAGGCAGGGGTCGGGTTCGAACCACGGACCTTCCGGTCAGTAAATTCGCGCTCCAACCACTTGGGCCATCTCGCCCACTCCACATTGAGGAAATCATTGTGGTATATTCAGGGTACAGGGTTTTACCCTGTATTCCGGAATGCTCTGTTTCGTCCCAAACAGAGTTGGGAAGCACTGCACTTGCAATTCTTTTTCTTTAAAGGTCTGGATTAGTACCACTAAAGCCATTGCCGGACTGTCAATTGAGGTGTCGGGAAAAAGCGCACGCCAGTATGTGCGTCCATTATTATCTGACCTTATTTACCAGGTGCGCTGTACTGAAAGCGAAACTCGCCTCCAGCGATATATAAACCCTCCCGATGTGAACTAGCCAAAATAATCACACAAGGACGCGAGGAGTACTCTAGGTATCCATTCTACAAAATCCATAATTACGGATAAGTGATGTTCTACTTTATTACTTCATTGTTTTGCTGTTGTACCCTAATCCTTCTCGCGTAATATTTTACTCAACTTCCATCGCAGAGACATTTCATCCAGTCGGTCCCGAACTTTCGGATGCAACATATCAACCTTCGCTGTTCAACCCGTGCGGTGATCATCTTTGTGACTTAGAAGACTTGGAGTTGAACTGGAAACCGGGTGTGCATATCGATGGGGGAGTGACTTTGGCTAACTCAGCGGAGTTCGTGAACGATAAACTTAAGATTGGCCGCGAAATCGCCACCTATGACGGCTCTTCTGTCGTCTCCAAATTGGAGTGGGTAAGTTTTTGTTGTCGAACATTTTGACAAGAAATCATCTTTTTATTCCCACCTTGCTGTCCAACACTGGAACGAAAAATTGTCAAGCTTATCGTGACCGTCAGTTTTCATTCGACTGCAAACTTCGAATCGTTTTTAGGATACATTTACGTCCGTCACTGACTCAATTTTTCGGCACCAAGATTGCCGATCCCCTTCAATTGAATTCGATTCTTCGAAGAAAAAGGTTTGGAGCTCTTGAGCAGTCTAAGGAAATTAAGGATATCCAAGAAGTGACCTTGCGTCTGCAAGGCTGATTGGGCACTGTGAGTACCCGATCACTGAGGCTCAGGGAACTACAGTGCGGTACTCAGACGTGACTTGTATCCTCAGACCTTTGGATACCGATGTCTGGCCGTAGTTCGGTGGTCAGCAGTTTCATCTCTGATCGATCGAAAGACGCGGCTCATCTTCAGTTGTAAAAAACCGCTTATTTGCCAACACAGTAGTTATAGCTGCCACAATGTCGTTCGTTGGGGGGTTGATAGGTGCGCATTGGAGGCGGTAGCTCACGAAGTTGATGCGTAAACACACTGGTGTCAGTGGAGTTTTCATTCGGGAGATCGGTAGGGGAGCTCGGACGCATGAGTGACCTTGAGGGCGTGACTGGACCATATCTGGCAATGTCTCTAACCATTGGTGTGTCCCGTCTCGGCCTCCCCACCCAGGGAGATGGCACACTAACCGGTGCAACTAAGTTTGTTGGCAATGGCTTTCATAATTCGTCTTGTTGTCGACTAGAATTTGATTTGCGGTAAACAAACTTCGCGGTTTAGTACACTCCCTGGATCAGCTCCTACCGAAATGAGTGTTGTTTTCTAGGCCTGTTTTGGAAGATGGATTAAACGTTGGTAGGCAGAAACATCAGCGGGGTTTTGGTTATCGCCAAAAACATCTCTTGCTCGGTGGTGCATTTTGGAAACAGGAAGCTTCCACTTAATAACGAGCTACTCATGAGTAGTTTATGAAAACTGGTTTCGTGCCCGCATCCGTCACCAATATCTTCTAAAGCGCATTGGTGTTCAGCAATAGTCTTGCGCTGCCGTGCAGCCATAATTTATTTGAAGACATTATTATGAGGAAAGAAACACAATCAAGTTGGGAATCTACTTACAGTCATTCCGCCGTGACTAGGCCTTCTGACATTGGACAGAAATTAACAACAAGAACGCGGTTTACACTGTTTCAGATGGGTTCGCTGAACAACCAGTGGTTTCATAGCTTCTCAACGTTCACCTTTTGATAAAAAAGCTCCGTCAGGCCATTTGAGTAAGTTACCAAGTTGGTGGAGAGTCAGTCGACAAGATCTCTTCTGATCAGCACATTAGATCAGTGTTGAATATTGAAGGCTTCACCGTTCCAGTTTCAACGCACTGTCATTATCCAGGGTTGTCCACCGTATTTATGTCACCCCCTGTTTACTCTAGTTTCGAAGGCTCCAGATCCGACTCCAGCGAATCAAGTTGTACCAAGTTCCGTGTCATCTATTCGTCCACGTTTTCCTAAAGCACTTGGTGGTCGATAAAGCTGTGGTTTTAGCTGTCTTCATTCCACTTTGCATTTCTACATCGAGACGATTGTTTTGAAGCTATCTGACTGTTGTACAACTTGCTTCGTCTAGTGCTTTTAACCATACCTTTGTGTTGACATCTTGAAGGTCCTTATTCGGGTTCGGAGAGTTTGGAGCACTGTCACATTGAACAATCCTATGGGAATGCTGTAGCAGTTTTCTTCTTTTGAGAGGTTTAATGCAGCAGAGGATTAGGGCAGGGAGATCCACTCTCCCAAATATTGTTCATCAGGGCAGTGGACAGTGTTCTTGAATGGTCGACGGCGCAACTGGGCTGTCGATTTTCCTGGCACCTTAGTGGGTGGTCTTGTCTTCGCCGATGACTGGCTCGTGTGTGCAGAAAAGACTGAAACTGTCGAGTTCGAGTTTGGAGTGGCCAGTATGACGACCAACGCCCAAAAGACGGAAGCAGAAAGGCAGAAAGCATCAATCGATTGCCGTTTTATTTGAACCCGTTTTGGTTTGTTGAGGAACTCATCACTCCCCGGGGTCCAACACATCTTATTCTATTTTGGTGTCTCCTCTACTTTCACGTAGCCTTTACTACGGATAGCTGATGCTAATAAAGCTGTTCGATTAGGTAGCACCTGTGCTGTTCAAGGGGAATCAGCTGACGGAGATCATCAGAAGCTACCTAATACCGTTTCTGACATTCTTTGGTGCTCCACCAACGCTAGCGTAGCATCCCAAAGGAGTGGGTAGTTATATCAGGTAGACGTAGCTACACTCACGCCGGTAAACAACACTGTATCCCATGCTTCAGTTCAAACATTTCGATTCAGCGGAAGGCACCCGTGGGACAGCCGTCGTCAATGCGCTTTCCACTATTTCGCGCTAAATCTTTCAGTGTTCTCATAAAATCGATATCTGTTTAAGGTCATGCAAACACATTTTGGATCTAAAAGACTCACACTTTCAAACTAGCCTTCGAGTAGCCTTGTAATAGGAAGATTTAGGAAGGAATTGGAGAGAAACCCTTCGGTAACGTCTGTTCTTTAAAAGTTTGAAAGTTGATTTTTGGGATTTAATTTGTCAGCCATAAACCGTGTGACATAGACATATTGGTTCCAGCTGCTACAGTTTCGATCCCCTGGAAAACGGAAAAGTGGAACATACAGCCGAGCCTTGGAGGCGAATGCATGTTCAGAAATTGGGTAGATGCGCATTGAAGGCGGTAGCTTTGATGCACGAGTGCCACTGACTGCGTGATTGGGCCATTTCCGCCAATGTCATTAACCACTGGTGATTTGAGTCCCAGGGTCCCCATCCGGGGAGGTGGCAGTTGCCCACCCGACTAAGTTTACTGGTTAGTGTTTTCGTGCTTCGTTGCCTGGTCATACACTGTCCATCTCTCGGTCGCTTCCACTCAGCACAAGGCTGGGAGAAAAGATCTCTGTGAGGCAGACGGTCTTCTGGCATGCGCAGTACATGTCCCAACCAACGCAACCCATGAAGCGTGAGTAATTCATCTATCGCAGGAGACTTCCTTCTTCCTAGGACCATCTGGCGTACTTCAGCACTACTAATCCGATGTTCCCACCAGACCCGACGAATGCTGCGGAGACACCGATGATCAAACACTGGCATCTTCCCTATGTCCTCTGCGCTTAGGGACCACGTTTCCGAACTACTGACACATGTCCTAGGTTTGACTCGGTTCACCGCCGTCCAATTGCTTATGCGTAAATCACCTACCCTGCTCGTTTCATGCTTTTGCGGCTGAACATGTTGCTCGGTGCTCGGTGTGAGGTCACAATGTCTACTGTATCACCGTTTTTGCCTTGTGCCCCTCTTCTCTAGACTAAACAAGCGCCATCCATTATTCCGGATACACATGAGTTTGATCCCGGTCATGCGTACAAGCTATATTCGTCGGCTGATTCGAATGGTACCGCGGATGTGGACAGTTTGATGCAAACACCGAATTCGGAAACTTCCTACTCTCGATCCTACTCAGTGTGTTCGCTGACCTCACAGGACGAATTCGACTCCCTGACCCTGATGAACCCTCGTTTCAATATGCCCGGTGATGTTAGAAATGATCCTTTTGACACCCCTATGGAACAGGTTGGACAACTGTTGCCCCAAGCGGAGATTTTCAGTGTTCCACACGGCTATTTTTTTACGCAGACTGATTTGATGCCCGATTCATCTGTGTGGTCATCAAAAAGCCTTCTTCCTAGGACCATCTGGCGTACTTCAGCACTACTAATCCGATGTTCCCACCAGACCCGACGAATGCTGCGGAGACACCGATGATCAAACACTGGCATCTTCCCTATGTCCTCTGCGCTTAGGGACCACGTTTCCGAACTACTGACACATGTCCTAGGTTTGACTCGGTTCACCGCCGTCCAATTGCTTATGCGTAAATCACCTACCCTGCTCGTTTCATGCTTTTGCGGCTGAACATGTTGCTCGGTGCTCGGTGTGAGGTCACAATGTCTACTGTATCACCGTTTTTGCCTTGTGCCCCTCTTCTCTAGACTAAACAAGCGCCATCCATTATTCCGGATACACATGAGTTTGATCCCGGTCATGCGTACAAGCTATATTCGTCGGCTGATTCGAATGGTACCGCGGATGTGGACAGTTTGATGCAAACACCGAATTCGGAAACTTCCTACTCTCGATCCTACTCAGTGTGTTCGCTGACCTCACAGGACGAATTCGACTCCCTGACCCTGATGAACCCTCGTTTCAATATGCCCGGTGATGTTAGAAATGATCCTTTTGACACCCCTATGGAACAGGTTGGACAACTGTTGCCCCAAGCGGAGATTTTCAGTGTTCCACACGGCTATTTTTTTACGCAGACTGATTTGATGCCCGATTCATCTGTGTGGTCATCAAAAAGGCGACGGCGTGAGTTGGTGTTCTGTGTATCGTCTTATTTTCAGATGTACGCACCTCTTGAACCTACTTCAGTCACTATTTCTAGTTGAAAAAAACAGGTTTCCGTATATGGTTGCTGGAAACTCCACGACCGGTTTCTTCGCCCTTCTTGAGGCTCCGTCAACTTAATAGTCTGCTCGAATCCATATTTTAACAAATAGTGCAGAATGTCAACCCGAACAAGTTTCATTTTAGATAGCCTTCTTCTTGTATCCTTGTTTCGATTGGACACACACAATCGTTCGGCTGTAACACCCTTTCGGTGCCATGCCACTCAAAGGAAGCACGAGGGTTGAGTTAACGCCAGGTTGCCCAAGCCTAGACAGGACCGGTCGAGATTCGGAGATTGGTCGTTCCACTTCGTACCTTAAAAACTGAGCCATTACTAGCCTGGAGCGAGATGGCCCAAGTGGTTAGAGCGCGAATTTACTGATCGGATGGTCCGTGGTTCGAACCCGATCTCTGCTTCTCGACTTCCCCTGTCTAGGCAGCCCGGCGGTATCCGAGCCCTCGTGCTAGCCTGGACTAGCTTAATCATTCTTATTGGCATTTGTTGTACGTTGGTTCTGGCTGTCTCAGCTCGTATAGGAACAAAAAGATAGATAGCGACTACAATTGGTCAAAATGGCTTTACGAAGAGTTCTGTTTTTTTCATACAGGATCCACTCACTTTTCTTAATGTCCATAATGACACGCTTATAAGTGAAATGTAACTTAAATGATTTTTTACAGTTTTATAATCTCCGTGTTCTGGTCAGAGATTCATTTCAGACGTCTTGTAACAAGACAATCAAGAGCACGCACGGGAACATCAGTCTCATTTGAGTCAGGTGGGATATTATCGCCACTGACACAGAGCAGACGTTTTAATTGATTTCTCAACTGATCTAGTACCACACCTGTTTCAGGTCATACGTTACTTTGCCTTAGATATGAACAACGATTTCGTACATCCGAAATGCTGGCTTTGCAACTTTGTCCTCTTCCCTTTGTCTCTCCTTATTTCAGCGTGCATTCAATCTTTGTATATGATGGATTGAAATAAAGATAAAAAGTTGTACAACTCAGCTGACTTGGCGAAATTCTGACTTTTGGATTTCGCTTGAGAACTACTTTCTCAAGTCATTACTCCCCTTTGCCCCGCCTATCTCTCTTCTATTCACAGATGCTGAAACCTGTTGGATACCGGATCGGTCCGAGTCCCAAATCTACAGGCTATCATCGCTCAACAATGAGACACTCTCCCAAGACTTTTCGTTACGCTTTCTCGCGAATGACTACACTTGCCACTCTCTGACTGACTCGTATACCCCCAATGAGACACCTTGTGAGCAGGTATCCAGTCACTATCTGTTAGCCGAACCATATGCCACGGTTCCGACCGAACATCGTGAGAGATTGGTACTGCGCCAATTATGACAACGATGATTAGCGGTTTTCAGTCCGTCCCACCCTTACAATGGTGTTCTTTTGGTGTTTGTGTGCTCTCTAGGTTCTTTTCGTGTTCATCGACTCACCGAATGTTCAACAACAAAATGCGCCGCATTTCCTTCCTTCTCTCACCATTTTTCACACAAAGTGCTCTGTGTTACTGTAGTGTGCTCTGCCATGGTAATCACTCACCCCATTTAAGATCGTTTCTACCCGGCGGCCATTCCCCTCACCCATTTGTTGGTTTTGCTTTCAAAAGACTATCCTCACCACCACGCTTATTAGTGATGGTATCAATTTGATACTTATTGTGATTCGCCACATTCTAATCTAATCGGGTCATGACTTTAGAGTAGTTCCTTGTTCCGCATTTGTTTATCTTAGCCTCCTCATTCGTGTGCTTGTCGTTCGCGCTGTTTTTCTACGATTGATGCTGACTCGCATCATTCTAATTTCTCCTCAGTTTGTCTCCATTCTTCCTGGAATAATTATGCTCCGTGTCATTCACGTAGCCGCACACACACACACACCACCACCACCAACATTCATTCATACCACCGTTTTAGTTTCAATAAATGGTCTCCGGGACTGACAGATTCTCGGATAGGTCGCTTTTTCGCATGTCTTTCCCCATCCCCCGCCCCCTCATCTTGAAAACTGCCTTTGATCACATGTGTGAGATACTTTTGTGTCCCAATAGAGGCTTCATCTGTTTGTGCGCTATGTTTGTAGCCAATGCTTTGTTACTTAAACATTATTGATTTACACGCGTTCACGTGTTTCAAGTTTTGGGCGTTGTTCACTCGGAGATTCGCCTTTGGATGTCTTGTAGAAGGTCACTTCCTGGACACCTCAGATGCCTCCATCCACATTTTTGTTCGGCGGTATCGCTGCAGTATGACCGCATGGACTGGCTTCAACATGTACGCAGCGAAGTGATGCGTACGTAGGCGGCTGCTTGGTAGGGCTAGAATCGCTACAGCACCGGGCAAAGCCTACCAGACCACACATGCCTAACCACCCTACACACCAAAGGCGCTGTTTTTCATCCGCATCTCAAGCCGGTGAAAACTTCAAGGAGCGCTAATTGAAAGTCGTTGTGGAAAAACTGGGTGCATTCCTGGTTGGGTTCCATGTGATTTTCTTGGTATGTGTAGAATCTGAAAGTAGTCGATTCGAATCACGTGTATGCTGCCACTTTTAGCTGGACTACGTTCAACCGTGTTTGTGTTTCTGAGCTAGACAAGATTGCCAAAGAATGCTGACTATTGGTGGCTTCCTAGTCCAACATGATGCTCCAATGTGTTTACTTCATTGCTGTTTGAAGGCTCTTAATCTTTTTGTCTGTAACTACAAGTTTTTCCCTTTCTTCTTGCGTGGTTTTATGGTACAGCGGCTGGCGTGCCACTGTCCAGAACGATGGGAATTTACACCATGGGAACAAAGCCCAGATGCCGCCACGATGCTCTATCTCACTGTGGTGTAGCAGTTTATGCAACTTCGTGGCCCACTGAGCTCCACTAGAGATATCCGTAAAAAAATCGTTCAGCTGTAGCACCCCTTCGGTGCTTAGCTGCCGTACCACCATAAGGGAAGCACGAGGGCTGGGATACCACCAGGTTGCCTAAGCCTAGACAGGAGAAGTGGAGATGTAGAGGTCGGATTCGAACCACGGACTTTCCGGTCAGTAAATTCGCCCTCTCGCCCCTAGAAATATCCGTATGATACTCGCATTCTCATATCATGTTGGTCAGTGGTTAGAGCTCTGGCCAAAGCACTCCACTGGTGTTTCAAGTTGGAAATTGAAACATGTGTAGTAACTGTGGCTCTGTCATCACCGAAGGCAACTTTTGTGTCGCCTTGAATATCCTTTTACAGCGAGTTGAAGGCTGAGATACCATTCTGATTTCCAGGAATTCAAATCCACATCTGAAGCTCAATTGGGTGTACTTTTATTGAACTCGGTACATACGGACAATGGTGAGCGACCGCTTCAGCCGTGTGCTGACTGCACTGTTTCTACGCCGGGCCATCTCCCGGAATAATCGAGACTCTGTCTATGTGATGTCCCCAAACAGCGGGCCGTTCACAGATCCCAAATCATCATTCCTTATTGATGGCTTGGATCACTAACCGACTGCCGTACATGCAGTCGTTCGAAGTCCTCTATCTCTTCGATGTTCATGGCCAATTAAACAGTGGACAACTCCCTTATCAATTGAGAGGCTCACAGATCCAGACTTTCATTCAACTATTCTACATTTGGATGTTCGCATTGAAACGAGGTCGCTACCTATTTGCACAGTGTTGGGAATCACACCTGCGGCACGAAATAGTCAGCTCCACTCAAGCATTGGTGTTACTGGAATTTCGGAGAACTCTTGTCCCTAGTCCGGCGAGTTATGAGACATCAAGTGAAAGCCAGCGTGCTCGCCGACTGTGAGATCTGGTGGACACGGAAGCTAAGGAATGATAAACCAGAATGCCAGGAATGCTTGGAGACTGTTTCGATTGCTTTGTGCCACCGATCGCTGAATACCTCTTGTGAGCGAAGGTGGAGGACACCTTGATTCTGGACTGACCACTTGGAACACGAATTGTCATGGCTATCTGGTGTCACTCGCTCACGTTTTTTTTATTTACACCAGAACTGTGGTCAGTGAATCTAGGACCTCCTACGACATGTTTTCCCAAGCATCACCGAGCTCGTAGCTTTCAACCTGCGCTTTTGGTTCACTGCGACGAGGTACCCAGCGCTTGTCTGATCTGTTTGCCAGCATCCGGAAACGGAAACTATCTCAGACAACCGGTAATAGTGCATTTTCACAAAGCAGCCCGTAGTCAATGCAGCAATCATGGGTGGATCACTTTGACTCCGTTTGTATCTCCGCATCACCTGTTCTTCGTCGCCTTGCGGTGGCCTGTGAAGCACTGACTCGAGAGCAGCAGGCGTGATTTCAGACTGGTAGCGGTTGCGTTGACTAGTTGTTCATGCTCTGTCATACCTGTAAGTGGCCCAGAATTTTGTATTTTTGGACTTTCGAGGTTCAAGTCGAACGTAAGGTTGAGGGAAACTGGGGACTGCGCCTTTGACTAGTTGTTCATGCTCTGTCATACCTGTAAGTGGCCCAGAATTTTGTATTTTTGGACTTTCGAGGTTCAAGTCGAACGTAAGGTTGAGGGAAACTGGGGGACTGCGCCTACCTGATGAGCTGGCCCCAAGAAGGGCGAAACCGGTCGTGGGCTGTCGAAGAGCTTTCAGCAACCTTGTGAGTGGTTACCTACGACTTTGTTAGTCGACTTGACACGCAAGGCATGCGTCGTACTCTCATAATTGCGGATGTGTTGGAGTGTACGTGGAGCTTCCCAAAAACCTCCGTGCACAAAGGTGTCCAGCAAGGATGCTCACTCTTCCTCTTTCATTTCGTGATCGACTATCGATCTTCAGGTTTTCAGAATCCTGGTTTTCATATAGCTGCTCCCTAGAACCGTGTCGATCTGGAATATGCGGAAGACATCGCTCTCGACTTCGCGGACAAAGAAAACGTGTTTTCCGACGAACTGACTGAAGTCATCCCATCCTTTAATATACCCTTTGTAAGTTCGTGCTGTGGGCAGGAGAATTGGAGCGTCCTCAGACCTTCGACAACCGGTATTTCGGAATCACACCGCGTATTGGTTAATGCCAAGGAATACACAGTGAGGCATTTAGAAAGCAAGCTTTGACCATGTTCTGCGCGTGCTGAGTCGTCATTTACCGAAAAGCGTGCTATTCGCGTGTCTATTTCAGAGTAGCGCAAGCAGAGAGATGGTGAACTTTTGGCCTGGCAGAGGGGTATGAAAGAGATTACGACAAATCTGGGTGCTGTCGATGCCTTCCGGAACTGGGTCTGCGAGACAGCCCCTGTGTAGACGCTGCAAGTTTTGACTGGTTATCGATGCTAATGGTTTTTGTTATGGATGAGTGCCTTGAGGTGTACGTTCCTCAGAATGGTTGTGGTAGACTAGCACTGGGTCCCTTCCTTTGTTTCACGATTATAAAACTCTGAATTAATTTATGGTTGTTCAGCAGTGAGGCACTGGTTCCTATCCCTGATGTTATGCTGTTACTGGTGAAGATAGATGACCTAAAAGCTGGAAAGACCACTTATATTGTCAGATTATCTACAGCAGTGTTCGAACCGGGAAATATTTCACCTGATTTGCACAACGTGGGAAGCTGAAGGTGTCGCACAAGTGCTCAAGGACCTTACAACTAGACCAGTAGTTTAGAGAAACAGAAGCCGACAGCAAACGGAAGAGTGGTCAGTGTTCTGTGACCCGCTGGCAAAATCCCGGTGTGCTTTCTGTTCGTTGGCTGACAAATGAGGTTATTGAAGATGTAGGAAAGAACCGCAACAGTTGTAAAATCCCCTTAATTCGGTATGACTGTCCGAATCGTTCAGCTGTAGCACCCTTCCGGTGTCTAGCTTCCATGCCACCCGAGGGTTGCACGAGGGCTGGGATACTGCTAGGTTGCCCAAGCCTAGATAGGGGATGTCGAGAGGCAGAGTTCGGGTTTAAACCACGGACCTTCCGGTCAGTAAATTCGCATTCTAACCACTTGGGCCATGTCGTCCCGAATGCCCACTTGTGGAACTGCCTCCCCTAATTCGAAATTGTCACCGAGGTGGATCACAGCTGTTGTTCCGTTTCCAAATCGGCGTCTACCCCACGTTTGTGCCGAATCGGTTGGTAGACCCGAGAGTGGCTTACTGATCCAGTACCATACGGATGGTAGTCTTTTCAGATAGAGGTGCTTCTTGACCAATACGAAGTCACATGATTCGAAGATCCGTACTTTGTCTCTTGCATTTGACTGCTCTATGTGTGAGGATATTCAGAGATTGTTGTACACTGCCGTACAACCAACATGTTTATTTAACTATGATCTTAAAGTAGTGGGAAGGAAAGAGTAGATAAAGGCACCTGATGTTGGTCCATCACAAGCATTCAGAGGTTCCTACACCTTCACGCGTCGCAGAATGTTGATACTTTTCTCACGATCTACACCGCACCACATTCCATGGTCCCACCTGATGGTCTCAGGGACAAAAAGTCTCTAATTATAAGCTTTCTCGCCATAAAACTACTTTGTTTCGTGGATATTGGCTCGGGATAAAGCCTCCCACAACTCTACACGGCAATTCTACTCGAAAGACTGCGGCGAAGAAAAGACACTCCCATGTGAAGCAAATGAAGATAATATTTACTGGGCAACACACAAAATTCACGATTTAGCGTGTATTCCGCTCCCTCGGAAACTCCGATTTCACGACCCCATTCTAGAGTTCGAATCCGCTCACTTCGTACAAAGTTTCACATTCGTTTTTTTGTGCTCACCTTTCAGCAAACGTCTTGTTGATTTCCATCTATTCTTCTTGCTCGATAAGAAGATTTGAATATTTAAAATGACAATCGATTTTTCCGGCAACATGTTTTGTACTTGATGGCATAGTGTCGTCCGGTAACTATTTGCCGCTTCCCAACAAGAATGGAAGGTTCACAAAATCGCACCCTTCGTTTCGATTGATGAAAACATCAAAAGTCGGC